AAGAAAGAAAGAATAATCTCAATAATAATAATAAGAAGAGTGAGAGGGAACAGAATTGAGGGGATATTAGAAAGAAAGAAAGAAAGACAGAAAGAAAGAAAGAAAGAAAGAAAGAAAGAAAGAAAGAATAAGAACGAGAGAGAAATTATTGAGGAGGAAAAATGAAAGAAAAAAGAAATAAAGAAAGAACTAAATATGAATCTATATTATAATAATAAGAGCGAAAGGGGAAAGAATTGAGGTGCGTTAGAAAGAAAGAAAGAAAGAAAGAAAGAAAGAAAGAAAGAAAGAAAGAAAGAAAGAAAGAAAGAAAGAAAGAAAGGAACAAAGAAGAAATTTGCTTAATCAGAACAAGAGTGAAAGTTTTGCGGAGACGTTAGAAAGAAAGAAAGAAGGAAGGAAAGAAAAAAAAAAAAAAAGAAAGAAAGAATCAAAAGGAAGATAGAAGATGTGTAGTCACTTATTTCTTAAAATAACGACATGCAGTGGTATTCATAATTGTTATTGCAATATTTTTTTTAAAGTTGTTAAGCTTAGATTTTTAACTATATATTTTTTATTTTTGCGAATATTTTATTGCCATAGAACTCACCACGAGCTTATTCAATCATGAAGTGAAGAATTGAAATTCGTTAGAAAAATGAAAATATGAAAAAAATGAAATATTCCCGGTTATTTACTAACATAAGTATTATAATTCTGTTCTTTCTCTTTAGTAATTTATGTAGTTGGTGCGTAAATTATGCCCTTTAATAGGTTATATGTCACCTGGACAATAAATGTTTAGTATAGTAGCATGTAATCACCTTCACTTAACTTCCGCTAATCTTTATTCTGGTGTATGCAGAAACACTATATATCTATTTCTAGAAAGAAAAAAAAGAAATAGAATAGTGGATAAGGAGGTCCTGGTTTTAATGTCCGCTTCAGTGAAATAAAAAACTTGTAAAAAGAACAAAGGAGGCTTTCATATCGACTTCAGTGAATGATTTGATTTTTTTAAAGGAACGCTATATTCGTGCTCATGATATATGGTTGGCCCTGCCCTGGCGTCTCGTCTACAGTCACTTTCTCACAGACGCCTCCCTCTGTCTGTTCTACAAATACTTTCATGGAAATTGCTCCGAGTAGCTGCATTCGCTGGTTCCCAGACGTCATGAATTCCAGCGCTTTACGAGGCTGGCATCCCGCTCTCACCCCCTTCACTGTCGAAACTCCTAAATGTAGCCGTCACTTCTACTCTAATAGCTTCATGTCTCGCACCTCTCGCCTGTGGAACTCCCTTCCCTTCTCCTGTTTCCCTGTGAGCTATAATCTCCAGCTATTCAAGTGTAATGTCAATCGACATCTCCAGTTGCCTTGATCTATCCACTACCCCCATCCTTTCTTCTATCACTCCTATCTGATGTTGCTATTTCCTGTAACCCCTTGCATCCTAGTGGCTTCCCGCCTTGCTTGGGGTGAAACGCTTAAAAAAAAAAAATTAGAAAAGACAATGAAGAAGGACGTGCAACTGTTTTTTATAGACCCTGCAAAAGAAAGAGACATTTTGATATTGTTCAGCAGCATTGGCATACTTGGTAAGGATATTAGAATAATCAAGAACGTATACTGGCAGCAAACTGCCTGCATACGGATAGAAATTGAGTTCCGCAGAGATACAAGAATTGAAATGGGGTGTAAAGAATGGAGGTGTATTCTCACCCGATTATTCAACGTATACAGTGAGGCGATTTTGAGAGAATTAGAAGTCCTACCAGGATATAGTATTGGTGGCCAAAATCTTAACAAAATAAGTTATGCAGATGACACAGTGTTGATAGCAGAAAGGGAAACGAAACTGCGAAAAGTCCCACAGAATTTAATGGATGAAATCGAGAAGAATTTACTAAACATCAAGTGAAACAAGAATGCGCGGTTGTTAGCAAAATCACGAGGCCAAAATGCATATTACCAATTGGAGATACCGAAATCACACTTACACTAATTTAAATATCCGGGAAGTGTTTTAGCAGAGGACGGAATCTGTGAAACCTATGCGCATTGAGATAGCCAAAGATGCTTTCCAAAAGCTAAGCAAAATATTAAGAAACAGGAAAATTTGATTTGAAATAAAGAAAAGAGTACTGATATCAGTTCACCTATATGGAAATGGATGTTGCAGAATATCTTCAGAGACGAAGAAGAGACTTGAAGCAACAGAATTGGTGTTATACAGAAGGATACTGTGGATAACATTTTCTAACTATGTGAACAATGATGCAGTTTTTTAGAAAATTGATAGCAAAAAGAAAATTTATACTTAACATCATGAAAACACATTTAGTTTGGTTTATTTACGGCGTATCGGCCTCAATGGGTTATTTATTGCTGACGAGATAGTTATTTCTGGTTATATATATATATATATATATATATTTTTTTTTTTTTTTTCAAAAATGTATTGTTGATAATTTTTTCCAAAAAT